AGTGCCAGCCCTGAGCCCCGCCCCCACAGCCCCGCCCGAGAACCAAATCTCGGAGCCCCGCCCCGACACCCCAGCCCTATGAGGGTTAACCCCAAGCTCCGCCCATAGGCTCCTCGCCCTATGAGGCCGAGCCCTCGGAGCCCCGCCCCGGGTCACCTCGCGTCCGCAGCGGCTTCGCTGGTCCCCACTTGACCTCTGGGTGGACCAGGCACACGCGCTGGGTCCCGGCCGGCAGCAGAGGCTCCCTCCTCAGCAGCTCCTCCACGTCCTCCTCCTCTTGCTCCGCACCTTCCGGCTCCTCGTCCTCCTCCGTTCCCGCTCGGCGCCTACGGCCATCCGCACGTGGGCCCCGGCCTCCGCCCCCTCGTCCCTGCAAATCCCCTGGGTCCCCGGGGCCGAAGGCGGTCAGTGCGCGCTCGGGCCAAGGTGGCAGCCGTGGCGCGACCCTCAGAGCCCCGCGGCCGCGAACCACGCGAGAGAGGGAGACCCCCGGGCGGACGGCGGCCCGCAGGGCCCACATCCCGCGTCCGTCCGAACGCAGAGGGGCGGGGCCTAGGGGCGTGCTCCCGTGCGGACTCCCCATTGGCCGTCCGCCGTCACGTGCTTGCCGCCGCCTGATTGGTGGGGAGCGGGCTCCGCCGGGAAGCGCTTGTCCGCCCGGGGAGCTGCCGGCGCTTCCCCCTCCCCACTCGCACCTTCGCGCGGGTTCGGGGGGTCCCAAACGCTGTCTTGCGGGTCCAAGTGCGGGCCTGGGGCCCCAGATTTTGCCTTGGGGGCCCGAACTCTGGCTTTGGGTCTCGAGTCCAGTTTGGGAGGGTTCCGAATGCTGCTCGGAGATTTCGATCCAGTCGGGGAGTTCTTAGTCTATGTTAGTATCCTGAGTGTGGTCCCTTTCCATTCCTGGGGGACTCGAACCCTGCCTTGAGGGTCCCATTTCATCCCTGGAGGTCGCAGACCCAGTCTTGGGAGGTTGGAGCCAGTCCTCGGGGGTTTCGGGCCCTACCTTGGGGGTGCCATCTGATGCCGTCCTCAGGGGTCCCCAATGTTTGAGGGGCTTCCGAAGTTGCGCTGGCAGCCTGAGTGGCCTCGAGGGTCCCAGGCCCTGCCTTCGGGTACGAATCCGGCTGGCCGATGTGTCTTGGGAGATGACAGCAGAGCCCACTGTCTAGCAAACTGAGAGAGAAGGGCTAGTTTCAAACAAGTGGGGAGGGACTTGTTTTTACAGAAAAGTTTTAATTCACAGGTTGTTTTTTAAACGTCTGCAGAAAGCATAGCCCTTCTAACATTTCAGGAGACAGTGTTACGTCATTCTGACAGAATGAGGACACGCCGGAGGGCTGTACAGATGCAGGAAGATGCATTCTGAACGAATGTGATCCTGCTACGCATATTAAAAATTTATTAGTCAGAAAGGAAATGGGTCAACTCTTAGAATATTGACCCGGCGTTGACCGTGAAGCCATGGGCAGGTGATCATTCCTAGGTGCCATGTCCCTATTGATAGAATGACAGACTGGATTAAAACTTAGAATAACAATTCACAATATTGTGAATTTTGGTGGTTGATAGCCTGTGGCTGGTCCCCCTGCCGCTCCATCACGACGGCTTGAGACAGCAAGATGGCAAAGGAATGAGGACAAATGTGTCCATAAAAAAACGAGGTCCCTTGTCTCAGCAAGGCTGCCTTTGGGGGAGGCATGCTCTGAGATGTTGAGGTGCAGGCAGAGACCCCAGAGATCAGATGGGAATATACTGTGGTCTTGTCATGCTGCCTGGCTTGAGATTCGGGCAGATCACCTCATTCCACCTCTAGACAGAGTGCTGTGTCATTTTGGGACCAACGCAGTGGGGGCGGATTCCTGAGCACTCATTGTCTGTTGGGCTTTGCTTTCCTTTGCCAATGTCTGGTTGCTGTCCTGGCTGGATCACCAGCATTGTCCCCGAAGCTTCAGCAGCTCTTTTGGGGGGCGGGGCAGGGAAGCAGTGAGGAGTAACATTGTTGGTAATGAGGTAATGTATTTTTGCTGCTTTATTATTGACAGTATGTAATATGACTGTTGGTAGGGATACAAGTGACAATTGCAGATGTAATTGGTGCTGTGACAGGTATGCGGATTGTAGGCTCTCTGAAACACCCAAACATGGACAACTGTGCATAATGTCAAGGAGAATTGGTGATTTACCTCTGCACCCTCACAACCGCTAAACAATGCCCTACGATATTGTACCTCCTGTGAGTTTAGTCCTTTCCAATTTTCTTTCATTGTTTTACTTTGGTAAAACAATTTCTTTTCTCTAATGATAAAAATTTTAAATGTCTGGTGGTAGGCTGTGTACTCAAAGTCCCCGGTTTGGAATTGTCTGCACCCTTGAGAAAGATTTAAGGAGTGAGCTGTCATTTGGCTGTGTCACTACATGGTTTGCAGCTGCAATTTGGCTTTTCTTGTGTCTCAGTGGGAGGTCTGGCCAAGACGTGATGAAACTCGTATCTGTCTCCAAGGGCAGTGGCCATGACGGTGCTTGTTAATAAGAGATTTGCGATGATGAGAACCTGGCCAAGTTTATGTACATTTTTTATCTGGGTTCTAAAATGTGTTTTTCCCTCTGAGGAAGAAAGTAACATTTATGTAGATAATTAGAAGGTGCAGAAAAGAACACAGAATAGAAATCACTTAAAATGTGAGCACACAGATAACCACATAGTACATGTCAGCCATGTAACATTTTTTTCTGAGTATTTCCCATCTGTGGTCGGATGAATCCACCTATGTGGAACCCAGAGATACAAAGGGCTGACTCTATGTGCGTGTATAGTTTTAAAATTTTTATTCAGAATGGATTCACATTATATATACTGTGTTTTTAAATTTTTTAAACTTAAAACATATCCTGAGTATACTTTCAATAAGTACTCAGCACGGTGTATTTTGGGCTGACCACAATGTGACTCGATGGTTATTTTATAGTTAATTTTATATTTTATAACATTTATAAAATTCATGTTTATATTTTATCATACCTAATGTTAATTGGGCTATAATTTCGTAGTTTCATACTGAAAGTAAATAACATCACCACTGTAATTTGTATTATATTTGTAGTGGATGGATCACTGAAATGTAGACAAGGTGCTAATTTTGGCTTCAAACATGAACGAGAACCTTTTAAAGCACAGGATAGGGGGCACAGCCAGGAGCTCGCACGGGGAGGGGGTGCTGTGGAGGGAAGGGGGCTGGGCACTGAGTGGGGGAGCCGGGAAGGAGGTCACCTGGTGAGGATGTGTGACCCCAGGTGCGGGGACTGGGAGGTGGGGTCACCTGGTGAGTGAGGACATGTGGCCCCAGGTGCAGGGTTTGTGGGGCCGTGTGGTGTCACCACATTTTTCTGGGTAAGTCTCAGGTCCAGAAGAGACCCCATGTCTGCTGCTGCCCTGCAGTATCCCCCGCTTTCTGATTGCTCCAGAGTGTGAACGCGGGGTGCTCTGACCCTGCCCTAACCCTGTGGTACCTCTCTCCTTTCTGAGGTCCTGTCCTGCTGGCGTGGGGACAGGGACTATTAAGGGGTGTGGGGTCTGTGTCCTGCTGAGGATCAAAACTCCTGCTGTCATTGGGGTGGCTGCTGTCTGGGGTCCTCTGAAGGAGCTCCGATAGCACCGCCCAGCCCCAGAAGGACGGTTCCCTGTGAACAGTGAGGGTTTTGGTGATGGCCACAGGTGGGGAGTCTGTGCCCAGAGCCGTTTGTGAGACGCGGAAGGAGCCTCCCATATTCGTGACAAAGAGGAGTGGAATCGGAATCTCAGCTGGCAAGACGTCATAAAATCAAAAACGTTTGTCACGCGCGTCACGTGGTGTTTACTGGGTTGGCCCTGTTAGCGCGCGGCGGCCCTACCATGGGGTGCATCCGCAGTGTAGGCAGCCACCAGCAGCACCCCAGGGTACACCCGCTGCCCCTCCCTGCCCGGCCCCTGGCGCCCCGCCTGCCGCCTCTGCGGCTCTGGGTCCCCTCTCAGGGGGCCGTCCGGCGTCCGGCACCTCTTGGTTTGGAAAAAGCAGACTTTCGCGTCTGAAGCTTGGCCTGTTCTGTGGCTGGAGAACCCGCATTGTGGGGGTGCGGGGGTGTACCTGGGGCGGATAATGAGGACCCGACCCGACCCCCACAGCCCTGTGGCCACCTTCCTCTGCCGCGCCGACGCCTCCAGGGGACTCCCCGTGCCCCGTCCTGCTCGCTCAGCGCTGGCGCCGCCTGCCGGGTGCGTGCGGAGGGCGCTTCCGGCCCCAGGCGGCCGTGCGGGGTGGACCCGGGACCTCAAGGGCCCCGTGGCGTCCAGGCCCGCGTGGGCGCACGCCGCCTCCCTTGGTTCTGTGAAAATGGCTTGCCCGATCGTGGGGCCGGGACCCTTCTGGAAGGGGTCCAGGGACAATGTCTGGGACTCCACGGAGCTGCTCGTGCAGTGGCTGCGCTCACCGCGCCGTGCACCCCACCCCCACCTGCTGGACACGGTCTCTGCAGGTCAGTGGGCCATCCCTGCGGGTGATCCCTATGGGGTCCTCGCACTGGCTGGTGGCCGCCACCACGGAGGGAAGAGCTGCAGGCCAGGCTGAGAGGTCCGAGATGACCTGATGTCACTTCTCCTGTCGCTGAGGGCGGTGTCACGTCCGGGGGCGGAGGGAGGAGCTGCAGGCCAGGCTGAGAGGTCTGAGATGACCTGATGTCACTTCTCCTGTCCCTGAGGGCGGTGTCACGTCCGGGGAGGGGGGGGGTCTCGGTGCTGGGTGTGGGGCGCAGAAGCTGAGGGAGAGAGAACCAGGGGCCATGGAGAGGGGAGGCACATAGGGAGGGGTGGCCCCTGCAGGTCGGTGGGCCATGCGGAGGGGAGGGGAGGGTGGGCAGAGGGGCGGGGAGGCACAAAGGGAGGGAGGGGAGGCCCACTAACCCCGGAGCAGGAGCACAGCTTGTCCTTTAAGTCTTTCCCGGAGGGACTGGGGCGCCAGTGTCTCAGTGGGCACAGGGGACGAGATGGACAATGAAGGAGGACTGGGGCCTCCTGGCCCCGGGTCTGGCTCATCTGGTGTGTCCTGTCCCTCTGTCCCCATGAGAGGTCCCAGGATGGCTCACCTGGGCATGAACAGGGAGTCAGCTATGCAGTTGGGTCTCTCCTGCCGTAAATTCAAGTTGCGTGTGTTCCAGCTTTTCGGCCACTGTCCCCTCCAAGGGCTACTATTCTGCCTTTCTGGCTCACCGACCGGGGCACAACATTTGGCGGGGGGCACACATCAGACTGGGGCAGCTGATCGCCAGGTCTCCTGCCCCTTCTCGCTCAGCCCACACTGCACAGCGGGCAGGGCGGTGGCGCCTGGGGCTGCATGCGTCAAGGTCCGGCTCGAGTGTGAGCACTTGCCCGGTCAGCCGAGTGCTGACATTTAGTTTGTGGATGTGGATGCTGGGAGGGGTGGGTGCCCGCTGGCAGGAAATAACCCTTGCTTCCCCCTGGGGAGGGCAGGTCATGGGCAGGTCCTCTCCTATGGGGCATTGGCGGGTACAGACCCCTGGTGCCCGGCCTCCTCTCCGCCCCATGGATGACCCAGGAGCCTTCACGAGGATCCCGTGGGCTGTGGCTTCCCGTTTCGGTCCCTGGCGGGTGGAGGTGGGTAACGAGGAGGAAAATCAGTACTTTAGAGACCAACACCAACTGCACCTTGTTTTCCACGGCAATGTCACAGGTGTGAAATGTGATTTCCAGGGGCATCTTCTTTACACTTGTACGTTCCATTAGAAGGGCCCTGGGTGTCACCGTGGGTAATGACCCCCTCAAACTGACTCCCTCAATCTTAGGACCCAGCCCTGATGCAACAGGACCCTCTGTGATGCGGCCGTGATGTCACACTCGGGGTGGGACCCTGCCCCTCCCAGGGTGGGACCCGTCCCCCAGGACCCCTCCCTGCACTCACAGGACCCAGTGCTGAGGTGACGGGAGCCCTACTTTCTGAGAGATGGACAGACAGCTTCTCCCATCCACTAGGGGACGGACGGGTGGACGACAGGCCCATGTGCCCAGGGGTGGGGAGAGGGACCGTCAGGCTCATGCAAGCTGGTGGGGGTGAACACAGCTCGTCCTCTGCCTCCATCGAGGGCCTGGTCCTGTCCTGTCCGGGGCGGGGGCTTCTCCCCATCCTCACACAGACAAGTCCACTGTTTCCAGGTCATTTCAAGTGGAGACAGTGGGAAAGCACAGGTGAGTGAAAAGAGCAAGAAACCGCTCACCTCCGAGCTGAGACCCAGTTTTCTCCATCTTTGTTCTGTCCTTTGCCTTTTGACATTGTGCTCAGTTTGCAGAAATGCCACAGCAGCCCGGGGACCAGTTGTGTGAAAGCTTAGAATCAGCACAGCTTGCCCCAGGCGATTCCACTGGTCCTGGGGTGTCTGGGACCCTCTGCAGCCTGAAGCCTGCGGCTTCCTCTGTCCAGGGGGGTCCTTCCTACTTCTTCCAGCTTCTGGGGCCTCCAGACCACAGAAGGCTGCCAAGGTGGGGGATGGGCCTGGTGGGGGGCGGTCATGGACACTTTGTCACTGGTGCTGGGCGGGCGAGGATGAACGCCAGACTTCAGAAGTGGGGGGGCCAAGAAACCCCTCCACACCGTCGTGCAGGCTGATTACTGCGGACAGACGAGGGGACCCACATCCTGCTTGAAGGCGCAGCACTGCAACCCGCACGTGCACGACACGGATGGTCTGGGCGCGGACCTCAGCATCGGCAATAGAGGAGTCGCCGGCGACGCTGTGTCCTTGTCCACGTGAGCTTGTGGTCAGGGGCTGTGCGCGGAGCAGGACCGAGGGGACCTAGGGGGATCTGGGGGCCGGGGTGGTTGCACTGAGGCCCGTCCACACCTCAGTGGGCGCCGCTCGCATTGCCTGCTCCTGTTGCTGTGGGGGTCCAAGCCCCGCACTCACAGCTCCCACTCGTGACCTTTTTCTCATCCCCCTTTCCAAGTCTTTGTCCCTTGCTCCCGACCTTGTCCCCCTGTCCTATCTCCCCTTGTCTGAGCCACCCCAGGCCACATCCATGCTGCACCCCTGAGGCCCCACCCCTTTGAGCCCTGCCTGGTAGAAACCCCACCCACTGCACGTGCTTCTGCCGGCCTA